ACCTATCGCTCACCTACCTCCCACCTACCGCTCTCATGGTTTCTATAAATAGTTTCTTTTGGTTTAATGCAAGCCAACCAAGACCAAACCAAGTCCTCTTGAGAGCTAAGAGAAAGAGAGAAAGAGAGAGAGAGGAAGGAAGAGAAGAAAATAGAGATTTTCTTATAAACGTCGAGGCGCTCGACGATGTAATTCCTTGAAGAAATAAAATCCTTTGCAACTCCGTGGACGTAGAGAAATTTGCCGAAGCACGTAAATCCATGTGTCACTCTGGTGTTGTTTCTCTGTGTGCAATTTTACTCGTTTCATTTTTACTTTATTGCCGTTGTTTTTAACAACAACTGGTATCATAGCTTTGGTTCGAATATAAGGGAGAATGATGGGCGGAGACGAAATGATGACATCGGAGATCGAGAAGTTCAATGACACAAATTTTGCTTACTGGAGGATGCAGATAGAGGACTACCTCTATGAGAAGAAACTTCATCTTCTATTATTGGGAAAACGACCAGAAAAGATGGACGAGGCAGAATGAAATCTGTTGGATCGACAGGTTCTGGGGGTTATACGATTAACCCTGTCGAGATCGGTTGCCCACAACGTCATCAAAGAGATGACTATTATAGATCTCATTGCAGCTTTATCAGGTATGTATAAAAAGCCATCGACGAATAACATGTACATCTGATGAAAAAGTTATTCAACTTGAAGATGGTGGAAGATGTGTCTGTTGCTCAACTCCTAAATGATTTCAAGACTATCACAAATTAATTGACATCTGTTGAAATTGATTTTGATGATGAGATATGTGCGCTGATATTGTTGGCTTCTTTGCCAAATAGTTGGGAAGCCATGAGGATGACAATTAGCAATTCTGCAAGTAAATCCAAGCTGAAATATGATGATATTCGTGATGTGATTTTGGCTGAGGAGGTGCGCAGAAATGATTCTGACGAGACCTCGGGTTCGAGTTCGACACTGATTGTTGATTCCAGAGGGAGATCACAAGACAAGCTCAAATCATGGAAGATCAAAATCAAAGTCAGGTCTGCAGGCAACCTGCTGGAATTGTCTGCTGGAATTGTGGTAAGGCACATAAAAAAGAACTGCAGAAATCCTAAGAAGAAAGAGAATGATGGCGTTAATGTTGTAATTGAAGAAATACAGGATGCACTATTTCTGACAGTTCACAGTTCTGTTGATGGCTGGATACTAGATTTAGGGGCTTCCTTCCATACATCTTCCTTCCAGGAGTTAATGTGAAATTATGTTGCAGGTAACTTTGAGAAGGTACATCTGGCTGATGGAAAAGCTCTGGACGTGGTGAGGATGAGAGATGTTGATATTGCACTATCTAACAAGAGCAAATGAACTTTGCAAATAGTCAGACATGTTCCTGAGTTGAAGAGAAACCTCATCTCTGTTGGGCAACTTAATGAGGGTGGTCATTCAGTGGTGTTCTCATATAGCACCTGGAAGGTTACCAAAGGAGCATTAGTAACATTAGTAATGACTCAATTAGTAATGACTCAGGGTAAGAAAACTGACACACTATAAATGACTACAGGTTTACTCAGACGTGGACATATGAGTTAGAGGTGTATTATGGGGAAGTAGAAGAAGGTCTATTTTTTGAAAAGTGGCAGAGCGCCAAAGGAAGGAAAATCGAACTTTGTACAAAAAATGGTGGAGAACCACAGAGTTATGAAAAAATCTTGCAAGATGAGAATTTGAGCAAGTGAGAGCTGACCAAGAAGGAGGAAACGAATTCCCTGTCAGGGAATCGGACTTAGGAGCTGACAGAACTTTCATCAAGGAAGAAGACATTGCACAATAGGTGGGTGTACCGGGTGAAGACTGTGTTTGGTGACAATAAGAGGTACAAGGCTGTACTTGTTGAAGACTTAGGAGCTGACAGAACTTTCATCAAGTAAGAAGACATTGCACAATAGGTGGGTGTACCGGGTGAAGACTGTGTTTGGTGACAATAAGAGGTACAAGGCTGTACTTGTTGAAAAAGGCTTTCAGCAGAGACAGAATATTGTTCATGCAGTGGGAGTTGTAAGCATATACAAGAGTAACCCAGGAAAGAGCTTGGTGGTACGAGACTACGTTGACAGTGATATGTCAACTGATGGTGTTACTCGTGAGAAACTAAAGTTGTGTTCAACTTCAGCTGGTCTTCTAGCATGAAAACAAGAGTTTCGAGTTGCAGTGGTGGAAGATATTATGTTTGAGGAAAAGATCGGTACAACTAGTATATGATGCAACTAGTAGGTGATGCATTTAGTGTTCTAATCTCCAAATGGGAGAATTGTTGGCTAATGTGGAGACCCGGTCCACCGAATTTAATTAGCTTCTTAATTAAGTATCCCACCTACCGCTCACCTACCAAACCCACCAACCCCACCTACCCCTCACCTACCACATCTCACCTACCGCTCACCTATCTCCCACCTACCCCTCTCATGGTTTCTATAGATGGTCTATTTTGGTTTAATGCAAGTCCAGCAAGACCAAGTCAAGTCCTCTTGAGAGCTAAGAGAAAGAGAGGAAGAGAGAGAGGAAGGGAGAGAAGAAAATAGAGATTTTCTTGTAAACGTCGAGACACACCGGTGTATTTCCGCGAAAAAATAAAATCTTCTGTAGCTCCGTAGACATAGACAAATTTGTCGAACCACATAAATCTGTGTGTTGCACTAATGTTTTTATGCGTGTGTTTTTTCTCTGTGTGCAATTTTACTCGTTCCATTTTTACTTTATTGCCGTCGTTTTTCACAACATGTTTCGTATAAGATTTTCATCAGTTCTTATGACTTTGTTGTACATACATATAACACATATAATATTTTCTTCATATGTCACATGCATCATCATTATACCTAAATTTTGATGAGAAAAAACAAAAGCTAACATTTCTAATAAATATATTGGGCATTTACATATATACCGCATAATTCTAATGTATTTACATATCAAAGGCTTAAAATTTTCATTTTTACATTTATAACCCTTAAAGTTTTGCATCACATTATACATACATACATACATATAAATATATATACATACATATAAATATATATACATACATATAAATATATATACATACATATATGTATGTATCTATACATATATATATAATGAAGAGCTTGACCTTTCCTAATATCTAGATGTTCCTCAAAGCGCGATTCAGATGAATCCAATTTGGGGTTGATTGTCTATGGGGAGTCTTTAACAACCATTGAAGTTGCCTCCTTTGCTGCCTACCACTCATTATTTGTAATATTCTATTGAGTGAAGTAACCATTTTCTTTAGTTGAAGGTTGAAATATTAATATTTACTAAATATTTAGATTTGGTGTTTTGCGAACTTATAATAATTGCATTGAACATGATAATTTCAAGTTTCTAAAGTGCCTTAAAATAAAGGGTTCTATTTGTGGATCTTGTGTAATTTAAACATTCAAATTTCATGCATGCTAAAAATCTAATCAATTGATTTAAAGTAACTGAAATCCTTAAAAAAAACTTATCAAATGCCATTTTCCAAATGATGCCCCCTAAATGAATGTTAGTAAAAATCCTATTTGTTAAAGTAAGCCATGAGTGTTTGTAAAAATCTTTTAAAATTTCACAAAAAAAAAAATGAAATTAAATGAATTTGAATAAAATAATTTCGAATTTCAAATATAATTTAAAATGATAACTTTTTTAAGGTTTTAGGATTGTACGAGATATCAATACGATACACACCCAGATGAAAGAAAACAACTGATAATAACGTAAGAAATTTTTGCGTGGAAAATCATGAAAGAAAAGACCATGGGGCTTGACCCAACTGAAGAGTTTTACTATAAAATGAAGATTACTATTGCAACAACTTATCTCACAAGTGGGAGAGGACTGAATTTCCTAAGTTATAACGTTGAGTTTGCTGAAGAATCTGTTACTATGAACAGACAAGAACCGATAGTGATTGGTGGTGTCTCGTCGGTAGTGGTCAACGGTGGTTGATAGTGATTTATGACATTCAGTGGTGGTCGATGGAGTTTGGTTGTGATCAACGATGGTCCGTGGTGATCAACATGAGTTGGCGATAGTCATCAGAGATTGACAGTGACCGACGACGATCAACGGTGTTTGATGGAGGTTAGATGGACGGTGGTCAACAGCGATCTGCGAAAGTCGACGATGGTCAGCTGTGATCAATGGAGGCTAGTGGTGGTCGACGACAGTTGGCGATTGTGGTGCTAGGCTTCAACTCATTCTCGAAGCTTTAAGTTCTCTTCCGCACTCATGAGAGAGGTGAGATTCTATTTATATAGCTCTATGTGAAATTAATGCAGGAATATGAATCACTTTGATCGGACGGTCTGAAGAACTTTCTTAATCAAACAACATTCGCTGGACATATGAGTACCTTAGAGATGTGGAATTGAGTGATCTTAGGCTCGTTAGATTAATTTTATGGAGACACTTAATTCAACTATAAATTTATTAGATTGACATTCATTTGACCTCCTAAATATGCTCCAAAAAAGTGCTTGGATTAGACTGATTTTGATACCATTAGATCTTTCTCATTGAGATCATCATTTTGATTATTTCTAATTAAAGTTCTAATATTCTTTTTGCTTAAAAATTATCTTGAGATGTATATTATGCCTCAAGAAATGCTGAATTTGTTGATGACCTATCAAGCATCACATTAAAATTGGGCTTACCTTTTCTAACAATGAAATATTAATTTTTAAGGCTTGTTTTAAATTTAAAAGAATTTTTTTTTTCATTTTTTCTTTTATTTCGAAGTATTAATAGATTACATTGACTAGAGAATATTACAATTTTTGTTTTAATTTCAATTTTATTTCAAAGTTTTAATAAATCAGAGAGCCCAATTATTACATATGCGGATCAACAGGCGTGCCAGTCCTTCGATTTCTAGTTCTTCGTCGCATGCGTACCATTCAAAAGTTCAAAACAACCGTCCAATACACATATTTAACACATTATAAGTTCCATTTTGCAATTTCTATCTTCTTTTTAACACTCCCTACATTTTTTTTTATAATTCACAAATTCTTCTGAAGTCAATTAAAATAAAAATAAAAATAAAAAACAATAATCAAAGTTCGCTGCTCATTCAGATCGCCGGCAGCGACTCCGGCCGCAAGTAGAAATCCGGCAGATCAAAAAGTCCGGCATCAAAATACGCGGTGCTTCCTTCCTCCGCAGAACCAAATCTCTCCTCCACCAGACTCCCACCGAAGTCAGAAAACCCCTCGTACCACCCCGGGACCCCATCCTCCTCAAATCCCCAGATCCGGCCAAATCCCTCCGCCGTCTCAGCCTCCTCCTCCGGCGAAGACTGCCCCGCCGGCGGAAGACCAAGTTCATCGTCCGACGCCTCAAGCAGATACCCGATCTCCATCTGCCTAGCCTCCCCCACCCCCCCCCCCCGGC